ATGACCGGTTTCGTCCGGGCTAAGGGACTCATTCAGATGGCTTAATCTATTTTGAATTTTTTTCTTAATGGAGAAAGATCTAAAGCGATATATACGAAGTCGATAGAAGTAGTGATACAGAAAAAAAGGATCATGAAAGTGAATAGATTACGATAATAATGATAATAATAATAATAATAATAAGTGGAAGAATAAAAGCTTGAATAAATTGAGCATTTGCTGGAATATATATGTTGAATAAAGAAATAGATATGAACAAATAATAATGGAAAAAAAAACAAGTATAGATGAAGATGGAAAGAAAGTAGAGCGAAAGTTAGAAAAGCTAAGCTTTTTTGTCTCAGTTTTTCTTTCGAATTGAAGTTTTTGGTCAATTATTTTTGATGTTTTTGTTGGTAGCGTTGAATCATTTTTTCCCATTCATCAGATTCACCCAAAGTTTCTTGATTACTTACCATAGGTGGTGAACCTTGCTTTGATACTTGACTATTATTTGGATTTGTTGTCACTCGATGTTGTGGTTTGTAAAAGTATTCATCAGCACCTAGAATAGTATATATATGGTAAAAGAAATATAGTTATTTTTATAAGGTATCCACTAATTAATAAGCAATTACCCATGATATAAATGAATGCTCTTTTATTCCAATATTCGGCTGTTTTCTTCTGAAGATCAGTGATGGGTTCTTCTAATAATGAACCTGCATCTTCAGGATTCATGAGAACTATTGCAGGTTGTCGTACATTAATTTCTTTTGTTCCTCGATATTTGTCAGAAGCCTATTGAAAAAAATATCTTAATAATAGTCTGTATAAATGAAGAATAGACTAGAAAAGAGAAAATAAGTTTCGTTTTCTTTTTTTGGTTTTTTCCTTACACTTATTTTATATTTTTTTTGTGTTAGTAAATTTTTTTTATTAGGAAAATTAAGTTTACTAAAATCATCCCATGGAATATCATCATAAACAGAATATCGAGCATAATTATTCCATGCATCTAAATTCCATCGTTCTTGAAAATAATTAACACGACCAGGTAATGACATTGCAAATGATGTTTTTCCTGTACTAGTTGGTCCAATTATAATAAGACATTTTGCACGTGATGGACGATTAAATTCTTCTTTGATCCAACGATTCATAGCTTCACCTATAACATTAATATACATGTTTGTAACAAAACAAAGAAAAAAAGAGATTCATTTGGAAATTGTTATAGACTTACGTAATTGTGGTGTACAATGAGGAAATGAATCAGGCCAAATATAATCTTTATCAATTTCACCTCTTTGATCGGCTTCACGTTGTGCTCGTAAATGGACATAATTGAATATTGCTAAATACCTATAACAAGAACAACAGATAGAGAGAGAGATATTAGTATAACTTTTTGTTTAACTATACCAGGTACCACGTTCAACAAATTTATCAATCATTTCTCTTTTAATGAGATCCATAGCATGATCAACATTGTTTTCGGCCAATTTGACTGCTTGTTTATATATATTAAGTTGATATTGACGTTTTTCTTCTGCTTGAACTTTTGCAGTTGTTACCTTTGGTACTACAGATGGATGAGCAGCAGGAGGAAGATTCATTGTCGTTGTCATAACAGGTGATGTTGTTCTTGTATTAGATGTAGATGGTGATCGACACCGTGGTGATCTTGATGAAGGTGATGATGATAATGGTGGCCATTGTTTTGAACCACGTGTTGTTGTTGATTTAAATTCATTAAATTCAATACAATTACCATCTTTTTTAATATATTCGTTCCAAGCTAGATCATTTTTAGTTACTTGATAATTACAATGTGTTTGTGTTATATCATCAAGAAATGGTTTTCTTCGATCAATTCTATCTTTAAATATAATTTGTATATGTAAATGTCTTTGATGATTCAATTCACTTATTTCTTCACCAATACAAATATATTGAATATTTTCAATACCAAATTCTTCTTTAATTTTCTTCATAACTAACTCTTTCGATACATTTGTCATTGATGTAATAGCAAATGATTTTGCATGTAATCGAGGAATGTATGAGGTAGGTGATGATTGAAGATTAAAATTACATTCTTGTGCAATTATTTCTCGATTAAGATGACCATATTTAGCATAAGGACGATCATGATCTTCTACATGACCTGTTTGATTTATAGGTGGATATGAATGTTGTGTTGTTGTTGTTGTAACTGTAATAATGGATGGTGATGTTAAAATTTGTTGTTGATCTTTGTTGTTATCATTGACATTAATAGATGTCATTGTTTTTGTTTTTTCCAATGTAAGATTCAATTGATTGATAATAAATTGAGCAGTTTCATCGTTTATTGGTTTCTCAGTTAAAATAAATTGAGAAAGTTGTTGAATTTCTTCATCTCTTGCTTTGATGAGAATTTGATTAAAATCTTGTTCCTTGTCAGAATCTGTTTCCTCTTCTTCATTTTCTTGTTGTTGTTGTTGTTGTTGTTGTTCTTCTTCTTCTTCTTTTTTTATTATAATTTTATTTAATTTATTATCCACACTTGCTTGTATACGTTGAAAGACATCTGACTCGATGAGGGTACCTGGTTGAAATATACGTGGTTGCGTATCAAGAGGTGATGGAGTCATATGAATATCATTAAGATTATAATGATGATTATTCTGAGGAGGAGGAGTTATATAGCTTGTTATCTACACAGATGAGAAGATTGCTATGATTAATACAAGACAAAAAGAAAAGTAGAATTGGAAGTTTGAAACTTACACTAGTTAAAGTTGTTGGTCGATCTGTAGAAGATGTTCGTTGAGAAGCAGTATTGTTTGACACTTGATTATGATTATTCGCCATGTTTGTTGTAACATTAGTTGATTTAATATTACGATGTTCTTTCATTTTCTTTCTTGTAAATTGTAAGGATACTGTTTGACCTTTCAAAATTTGACTTGATTAGTAATAGCAGAACTATGAAAATTGAATTATAGAAGTATTATTTAAGTAAGATGGGATATACATAAGTAGGATTCCAACATATGGAGTACATGAAAAAGCGACAGAAGGAATCGAACGGTATATTCAGAATATAGGAGAACTATCAGCAGATGAAAATAACAACTTCAACATACACACAAAAACGAAGTTTAAGTTACAATATAAAAAGAAAGATGGGGAGTAAAAGAGTAAGGAAGAAGATTATAAAAGTGACTTCATTCGATTATCAAAGATTGTGAAATGTCTGAATAACTGGATATGCACCTCTATTCATAAATGTGTTCGAGAGAGTGAATTAGAGAAATAGATTTCTCTCATTTTTTTGTTAATTCTCTCTTTGTTCGTCCAATTAGTTCAACAAATGGACATCTGTCGAATGGCTATAGAATGAGCGACCGAGAAAGAGAGATAGAGAAACATAGAAAATAGACAATAGAGAATGATTCACAGACATATATATCTATATCTGAAACTAGTTTATATCGTGCGACATCAGTATGCATCTACATTTAGCTAACGCCGTTTTCATTCCACAAAACAATGAAGATCTCTCAGGTACATAGTATAAAAGACCAAGTAAAGATAACTTAAAATAGTCCGTATATGCAAATAAAAAAGTAACGAAGAGTCTATACGCACTTAAACTAGATCTGCAGCTGAATGTAACCATATATTCAAAAAACAAAATAGCAAATCTGATAGAGTACGATATGGTAGAGAGATGTCAATGATTTTTAAACTAAAGAATTGAAATTCAGAGCATCACACGATCCGGATTTCGACCTTGCTGAAGGGTCTATCATCAGGTATGTTTACAATCTTTTATTACATAAGAATTCTAAACTCTCTAGTATTTTGAAGTAGTTTGAAATTAATTCGTAATAACTGAATCTAATACAAATACTATTTTATTATAAAAGAGTTTTGAGATTGAGAGCATCACACGTCCATTATTTTGTTTTCCTAAGATATCGATTCGTTTGTTTCGGAAGACATAGCATTGACGAAAAATATATATAATATTCTATGTAATACAGTTTTTCGAAGTATTTGGGACCGTTTTGAATCAATGGGTTCCGTAAGGTTAGTGGTGATTGGAGTGTTGAATGGGGTCTTGGAAATATTGTTGTATATTTCTTAATATTCAGTTTTTTCCGTTATAGGATTTTATGATTTATCTAATATTAGGCTTTATGTCTGTAAAATCGAATGTTTTTCTCATGTATCGAACTCCTTTGACTGCACCCACCACAACTGAGATGATGTGGGAGTGGAAGATTGTATAGTATGGAGCCTTTAGAGTGCCCTGTTTTCCATACGAAAAGTGAAAAATTGAGAATGGAGCTAAGGTCACAATTGAGAATTGGATGTGTTTTTTTCTTTCGACTTATGCATGGGTAAAATTTGACCTTGTATAAAAGTGATCTTATACAATGAGGGAAGCGAATCGTAGGAATGTTGTCAAGCTCGTTTGATCGACTTGAAAGAGTATACAGTGGTATAGAATGTTGGAATGGTTCGTTTCTGGCGTGTGACATAAAAATTTAAAAATTATTCACCAACAGTGGTGATACAAAATTGCCAGAACGAGTGTTGACTTGACTTTAAGTCTCATCGCCTGGTTTGTGTTGCAAACAACTGCAGTACAATACCATGTGATACGAATATCACATCTATATGTGTAGC